CCCTCAACACTGTCCAACTATTTACAAGTCTGCATTACTATCTTCTTATCACTCCTTATCGCCCATCCCCTCCCACTTGTGACTGTATGACTGTAACTTTGTCACTTGTATCCTAACGAGTTATATTGACTGTTTCCTGGTATGATTGGATTGCTTATTGTACCCTATGACTATCATTAAGTGTTGTACCTGATGATTCTTGACTCTTGATGAATGTATCTTTTCTTTTATGTACACTGAGAGCATTTGCACCAAGACAAATTCCTTGTGTGTCCAACCACACTTGGCCAATAAAGAATTCTGTCTATCTTTCAGTTTTGCACGCGGATTCTCACTGCCATACTTATGTGCGATTAAAATTATTCTTCTGCCCATTTTCAGAGGGCGGGATCTGTTGACCTTCCTCCCGTGAAGACCCGTTCACTGGGGGGGGGGGGATCAGCGACCCCGAGAGCAGTGGGCTGCCCTGCAAGCAGAGACCAGGCGGCCCCTCTCTCTGCATATTTGTGGTATGAGCCCATGTCCACGGGTGCTGGGCGCAGCTGCTGCCCGGTCTCAGCCTGGCCGGCCCCTCGGAAGTGCACAGGCCAAGGTGGCGCCAAGCTGGAGGTGGCCTCCATGGCTTTGCCAAGAGGGAACTGGGCTTGGCGGGTCCAACAAAGGGGCTCAGTGGGCCCACACCTTCCAGCGGCTGGCGCAGTGGCCCTCCTCCACGTCAGCCGGTCCCACCCTCCCCTCGTAGGAAGGCCTCCGCCGTCTCCCTTTCCGCTTTCTGCTTTGTGTTTAAATAAGAAAAGAAATGGTGAAGTTGCTAATAATGGCTCTAAGAGAAAATATGCTACATCTGCTATGGATAGCAGTACAAAATTAGCTACTCACACCTCTGACACCCAAGATGTCTTCACTTAAAATACCCGTCGGCTTCCTTTACATAACTTTGCTGATGATATTTAAAAGAAATACAATTTTGCAATTACTTCTTCTTTCTGGTGTATATCATTTTCTTTTTATGTTTATATATTTCTGCTTCATTAGTGCAGACTGAAGGGTGATTAGATCCCTTCAAACATTTTACAGAGGTTAAACGTTGATTAAGATTTAATTATTACTGTAAATAGCTTGGAATGACATATGGTGCCAAAACCTGACATATGTGCATTTGAATAAATGAAGTGCTATTTCCCAGGATGCACCAGGAACTGTTTAACAGCTTTGGTGAAGGGTTATGTTGCACCTCATGTTAAGATTTCTTGGATGTTATATTTTGTTGGGTTTCTGCAGCTGAAAGCTAAGAACAGTTTTTTCCAGTTTTTAAAAACATTGAATATTTTAAATACCTAAATTGTTTTGCACAATTTTTTGCTAATTTGTCTAACTAGGTTAAACATTTTCAAAAGCTTTTAGGTTTTCCATGTAGGTTTCCTAGCGTTGTTGTGTCAGCCTTTGGCACTGCCTCCCGTCGATACCGTTTTGAAGATTATAAAAAGTAATAATTTTAAAAGGAGCATTTTGGGTGGCTGCACCTGCTTACGCCCCTTCCAGGGTTCTGACCTTCCCTTGGGAGGCTCCAGAGCCTGCGGGATCAAAACAAGATTTTAGTACCGAGGGGCAGTATTTATTTTATTTCCTTCCTCAACTGACATAGTCACTCATCTTGCGGGAATCATAAAGCCACCCGTATCCAAAGCCAACAGAACCGACTGGCAGGGGAGGGCATCATTCAGACTTCTCCAAGAAACGGGTTCCCTCAACCCTTTGGGGGCCACTCAGAGGTGGGCATTCAGCAGGTTCTGACCAGTTCTGGAGAACCGGTAGCGGAAATGTGGAGTTGTTCGGAGAACTGGCAAATCCCACCTCTGACTGGCCCCGCTAACCCCATCTCTTCTCTGCCTCCCATTGAGTCCCATCTTAGTCTTTTGTTGCCCCTGCGCAGGAGAACGGAGCTGGGAAACAGGTTAGCGGGGTGGGGAGGGAAGGGGGATTTTACAGTCTCCTTCCCCTGCCACTCCCACCAAGCCACGCCCACCAAGCCAAGCCACGCCCACAGAACCGGTAGTAAAATAATTGAATCCCACCACTGGGGCCTCTATGTCTTCAGAGTTTAGAAAAGCCAAGTGGGGCTGGAAGTGTGTGGGGGGGGAGATGAAAAGAGGCATTCCACTTCCTTAAGTCTTGCAAACCCATTTTGAAACCCTCTGTGTTGTATCCACCGGGGGTCTTGGACAGTGGTGGGATTCAAATTTTCTTACTACAGGTTCTGTGGGCGTGGCTTGGCGGGCCTGGCTGGGGAAGGAGACTGTCAAATCTCCAGTCAGAGGTGCTATTTGCCGGTTTTCTGAACTCAGGATTTCAGCTACCAGTTCTCCAGAACCTGGTCAGAACCTGCCTGAACGCCACCTCTGGTCTTGGGTCCTCTGGCTGACTAAAATGGGGCACAGGTGCTGCCCGTGATGGAGGCGTGGGACATTTGGGGATGCCGGAAAGACCTTTCAAAACGAGGGAAGGACATGCCAGAGGGAAGCCAAGCCCCCTTGGTGTGGGGAGCAGAGAGGCAGCATTGAGGCGGCTTGCAAGGAGCGTCCAGCGTGGGATGTTGTGGCATGAAAAACATACATACTGTGGCACTGAGCGGACAGGTTTCTGGCTGGTACTGGCTCTGTAAGGGTAAAAGGATGATCTTGTTTAGGATGGGGTGGCCCCAGAGGGGGGACTATGTGGCCTTCCATTCCAGGAGAAAGAGGGGGTCCTCCTTGGACCCCGGCCTCTCCTGGGAGTCCAGACTGGACACAGCAGCAGGTCCTTTGGGGCGCAATCGTGGCTTGTAGACCCCCGGGAGGGGCCGGTCTCTGCACCCCGGGCCTCTTACCCTCAGTCAAAGCACCAGGGGGACCTCCCTATCTCCCTCCCACCTCCCCCTTTCACTTTCAGCCTCCCAACTCCGAATGTTGGCTTCTGCCGGCACTTCCTCTGGGCTCGGTGTCGCAGCTGTGCTGTTGAGATGCTTCCAGATGATTCTTCCCACTTTCTCTGTTTCCCACCTGTCCCTCTAAGAGACAGGCAGCCAAAGGCAGCCACCAAGACTGTGCGCGCGTGTGTGAGTGTGAGTGTGTGCTGAACTGGTGATTCCTTGCGCCTGGCAAGACTGTGTGTGTGGCGCTCAAGACGGCCACGGACGGGGCGGGGCTTGGGCCACGATGAAAATCCACGGGGGTTCCTGCAGAACTCTCCGTTGGTGTGCTAACAGACTCCACTCATGTCACTGGTATAACTTTGGTGTGTGTGTGTGTGTGTGTAAGTAATGAATTAAAATCTATTATCGCTCAAACCGCTCCGATAGAGCCGTAAAGCACTATAAGTCCAAGTGCTTTTGCTGTTGCTAATTAGAGCAGCTTTCCTCCTTCCTTTGACGACACGAATGGGTGGGTTGCTCGGGCTCCGCTTATGCTGGCAGGGGATGATGGGTAGCTGTGCTCCTGTCATGTGTCTGCACACCCACTGCCTCTCACACACACACCCCTCCCATCTTCCTGGGGAAGGAGGCTCCAGATCCAAGGCGTTGGGGGCAGAAGTCCCCTGCACCTGGCCCAGTGGTGGGATTCAAATTTTTTTACTACCGGTTCTGTGGGCATGGTGTGGCTTGGTGGGCGTGTCAGGGGAAGGATGCTGCAAAATCCCCATTCCCTTCCCACCCCCCTAACCTGCTTTCCAGCTCCGTTCTCCTGTGCAGGGCAACCAAAGAAGATCCAGCCAATCAGCTGGGACTCGGGAGGCAGGGAATAGATGGGGTTGGCAGGGCCAGTCAGAGGTGGGATTGGCCAGTTCTCCGAACTACTCAAAATTTCTGCTACCGGTTCTCCAACGATCAGCTGGGTCCGAACTGGTTCGCTCCTACGAGCATGTGGGAGCTTTTTTAAACATGGAGCATGTGCACAGAGGAGTGTTCGATGCATGCGTGCGCATACACCGACCCGGTTGTTATACCGGTTGAATCACACCCCTGCTCTCGGGCCTCGGCTGCTCCAAGTAGCCTCTCAGAACCAACCTGTGCCAGGGCTCTGGCTTCCACCGCCCTTTAAATCATGAATCTCTAGCCGCATCTCTCCGAGTTTAAAGAAGATTTATTAGGAGTGACCATGCCGGTGCTACCTGGGTGTAGCCGACTCTGAGACACATCATTCATTTGACCCTTGACCCTGGTCTTCCCCCCACCCCCTGGATGTATCTTCTCCAATGGGACACATCCATAGCCAAGAGTCACTAATCATGCTCTCCAGTAATAATCTTGTGCGCCAGAAGCTTCAGTTGCCTAGAAATTATCTATAAGCATTTAAGGCAGTGGTGGCTAACCTTTTGGGGCTCCTGTGCCAAAAAGTTTGTGTGTGTTTGCACGCTCATGCTCGCGTGCCAGCACCCAGAAGGCAATGCGCATCCCCCCACGCTCCCTACACATGCCTGTGCAATCCCCCCCTGCGGCCCCCTTACCGGCACCGCACCTCACAGCTGATTTTCAGCCGGTTTCAGGCCTTTTTCGGCTTCCCAAAGGCTTGAGGAAGGCTTCTGCAGGCCAAAAATTAGGCCCGTTTCGTCACTTACAGTATTTCCGGAAAACAGAAAGTGACGAAACGAGGCTGGTTTTCAGCCTGAAGCCTCTGGGAGGCCGAAAAAGGCCTCAAACCAGTCGAAAATCAGCGGTGAGGCGCGCACATGCGCAGTGAGGTAAGTTTGCCTGCAGCCTGCGTGCCGGAACAGATGGCTCTGCGTGCCACCTGTGGTACACGTGCCATAGGTTCACCATCACGGATTGAAGGAATGCACTACTTCCTCCACTCCCTTTCTGCTGACAACTCTAAAATATTTATGAGTTGACAACCTGGGTGAGCAGAGGAGATCCAAGAGGTGCGGGCGTGGTACCTCTTAGCCTCTCTGCCCCCTGGCAACTTTCGTGCCCCATCCAGGGGCCTCCTTCTGACCCCATTTTCCTGCCTTCTTCTTCTCGGCAGATCGAGACCGCCCGCTTGGAGCCGGACATCGCTCAGGCCACCGCCAGCCTGACCGTCACCTACAACAAAGGGCTGTAAAGCCGAAGCCAGCCCAGCCCTCAGCACCCAAGACGGTGGCAGCGGTAGCAGCAGCAGCGGCGGCGGAGGCACAGAGAGGCGCGAAGGGAGGAGGGGGGCTGGTGGGGAGGGGGCGGAATACAATAGGAAGGAGAAGACGAGGAAGCTGTGGCTTGTAACATCTTCCCTCCGTCAAGAACGGAGTGTAAATTAGCACTTTCCCGAGACCCGGTATCTCACGTTGGTCGAAAAGATTAATATTTAAAGTTCTCAATTAGCGACAGTAACAGCACAAAGAGAAGAGGGGGGGGGGGGGGAGGAAGGAGGGGGGCGGGGGTGGGGGGGGGGGGGGGGGGGGGGGCTGTTGGAAAGTCTGACTTCCTCTGGCTCTGCTGAGCTCCAGGCCAGCCTGGCAACCCACCCCTCCACCCCCAACCAGATGTTTGGGGGTGCAGCTTTCAGGATCCCAGGCACCCATGGCCAAGCAGGGAGGTGCAGTCCCAGATAGTTTGGGGACGGGGGGGGGGGAAGCAACTGCAGAACTATGGGGAGGGGGACCGCCCTGCTCCTCCTTTCAGGCTGGAGGGCCAAGCTGCAACTCTTTTGAGTAGGCGGCTTTTCAGTCCTGGCTGGAGCTGTGAGGGTCACTTTGATCGTAAGCCCTTCTCAGGGCTTCCTTGCTCCTCCCTGGGACCCCTTCCCCTTTTCCCTGAGCAGAGCCGCCTCCTGCAGCCCTCAGGAGGTGGGGCATTGAACCCAGGAGCTCTTGGAGGGGCAGCTGGGGTCGTCCTTTCTGTGCCGTGGGGACAGGTTTTTTTTTTGGCTTTTAGACTCCCATGGAGGGAGGGAACCTCCCTGCAGTGGCCCTCCCCACGGGCCCTTCAAACCCAGGGCAGAGGAGGGCCTCTTTTTATGGGGCCAGCCGTGGGACGGAGGCCAGGCCAGGGCTCTTCCCTTCCCACTGCACTCCACACACACCACCCGGGAGGGTCTTGGGGCAGGGACATAAGGGGGTGGGGAGGCAGCCATACTGGGTGGGGGGGGGGACAGAATATGGGGCAGCAACAGCAATCAGCCCTAGAGCCTTAGAGGTTGGGGGCCTCAAAGAGGCTGGTTCTAGCCCACTGAAAATAGGCAGCCTGCTCACACACACCCCCAACCCCTGAAATACTTTTTCTGGCTCCCTCCTGAAAGGCCCCCCCCCGCCCCCCCGCGTATTATGGCTCTTGCAGGTTCTCCACAGGCAGTGCTGGTTGCAGCTCTGGGAGCGCTTCAGAGAGGGGGTTTCTCTGATCGACCCCTTCTTTTGGAGAGGGGGGGGGTGGGGGCTGAGCTTTGCCTGCTGTTTTAATTCTCACAGGACTGGCCAGCACTTCCTGCCTTCGTGGGAGTGGATGTGGCACATTGGTGTCTGAGACCAACTGCCAAAGGCTGTAGGTTGGTAGATTAGGAAAGAAAGAAAAGGAAGAGAAAGAAAAGGAAGGAAGGAAGGAAGGAAGGAAGGAAGGAAGGAAGGAAGGAAG